CATCAAGCGTGACTGTGGACTTTGCTTTTACATTTGTAGAAAAGGAAATGTAGGCATAATGTGTCGCTGAAATAAAAAACTGAATGCTGTACTCTGAAGGATATCTGTGTAGTGTGTCGACGATATGGGATGCTGCCTTTTCAAATTCAAACCAATAAACAAATGTTTTCTTTGCTGAAATGCATTTATTTGAAAATTGTGAGAGAAACTATATATCTATTTTGGTTTGTCCGACCCGTGGAGTCAGCAATAACACAATAAATAAAAACAATTATTGTTACAGAACATGTTTTTTCTACAACACACAACAACAAAAAAGTCACAGTTGAGTAGAAATGTATTTTTTCTGCTGGGGTTTAAAATAAGGCCCGCGCTCAGAGGCACGCATGTTTGGAAACATTCACTGTCTGAATGAAATGTATTTATTAAGAGGCTGCAGATTAACATGTGTCGTGCAAATTACACTTCTGAAAAAACAGCAGATACGAAACTGAGATTAAATTAAATGGGTTTTTCACACTTTTAGGCAGTGAACGATGGATCACTGTGTACAGTAAAAATATGATTTGCCTTCTTTACAAGACAACGAAAGCCTGGGTGAAGTTCTTCAGTCCGTAAAAAGGAATTTACTTTGGATCTCCAACAGTGTTTGCAATGTCCGTAACAAGGCCTTCACGGAGAGAGACACCTCTTCAGAAACAACTTCTCTTCACAGGAGTCCATTCTCTACCTCATCTGAACTTGAGGTAAGCTGGTATCGAGTAGTTGAAGAGCAGGAAGTCCATTCGGTACAGGTTGTACAGCTTCTTCTGGTAGAACGGGCTGATGTTGTTGAAGAACTGAGCCGCCATGTCTCCCGTGGTCCTGGTGCTTTTGGACGAGGAGGGGAAACTGACCTGGTTCTCTACACCTGCCAGCTGTAAGACGTATTGGGAGTCCTGCTCCAGCGTCTCGTATTTCCCCACCACATCGTAGTGGATGAGGCAGGGGTGACACAGCGAGTGCACCCTCTCCCAGTGCTCGTTGAAGGGCTCTTCTCGTTGGGTTGCCGGATCCACGAGGTAGTACACAAACTCCTCGAAGGACACGTCGTTGCCTCGTTCCATGGCTTCCGGTTGAGGGTCTGCACGATGCCGACGCACTATCTTTGTGCCGTATCGTTTATGAAAAGCGGTGTTGTAGCTCCGCGTGAATTTGTTCCGGTACGCGGACACCAGGCGCTCAAATGGCTCTCGTACGAACACGAATTTGAGATAGGAGCGGAAGCGTTGGTTGATCTGCGAGGTGGAATACTCCGAAAGCGTGCGGAGGTTTCCGGAGACGTGGGCCTCGTTGGCGGGGATTGACAGAGGGTCTCTGAGGGAGCCGGAGACCCCCGTGAGGACCATGAGGACACGCTTCCAGTTGGTGCAGGCCACTTTGGGCACGTAGCAGTACAGCAGGCCGTGCTGGTCGTCCACGATGACGTGCTTCAGGTCCTCGGGGATCAGGACCCTGCGTTTACGAGTGTAAGAGCGACAGGCTTCTTCTAGAACCTCCCGACGACCCTGATGGATCGCCTGCACCCCCGACTCCATCTGCAGGGAGAAGGAGAAGAAGGAGAATCAAACAGGAGGAACTATTGATCTGCAGGAAACCCTAAAGCTATCACTAGTAGCATGTACTGCTGTGGACAGGGGCAACGTGTTTTTTAGCCGCCCTAAAAAATCCCTATCAGTTTAAATGTAGGCTATGATATATTTAAAAACAATTATCTTTGAAGTCAGCAGCCATTTTAACTCGCAAAACATGGAAGGTGCTGTTCTACCGCTGCCTCAATAGGTTAGTTAGTTTGGGGTATTGTGTGACTACAGTGATTTAGAGGGTTGATACACAAACAAACTTTCCTTTAGACCACTAACCCCTGTGTTCTGCAAAAAGAAAGTTGGGGAAATATCTTCCTATACCTTTGACCCAGTTTATCAGTTTGCCCTCACTGAGCACAGGCCTGCAACCTCGGGCTGCTCTCAGTGTTTTGTCTCCCTATTCCTGCCTGCATGGCGTCAGCTGATAGATAGAGGTGTTATTATAGTGCTTTATCTTGTTATGTGTTGATTATGCTCTCAGAACTGGCTGAACACACGGGTCTGGGGGAGAGATCTGCAGCACCAGCTCCAAATAAACCATCAGTGTTTGCCATCAAAGTTCCAGCTCTCCTCGTGTCTCTCTGAGTTTCCATTGCTTCAGAAGTTTCCATCACACAAAGTAAAAATATTAGGGCTGGCAAACAATTAACATTTTTAATCAGATTAATCACAGCTTAAAAATTAATTAATCATGATTAATCACCATTCGAACTATGTCCAAAATATGCCATTTCTTTATGTATATTGTTGTGGGAAAGGAAAGATAAATGAAAGAAGGCGGATATATCCATTTAACATACAGTATGTTTATTATAACATTATTCTGTGTGTCAAAATAAAAGACAGCTCCTATCAATCATCAAACCGTGGGGTCTTATTTCATTACGTGTTGATTTCTATCAACACGTAATGTTGTATCGATGTATATAGAGATGCACTACCGCAAAAGTATCCTCCGTCGGGACTTCCTGTAACAACACCACGCCGTTATCTTGATTCTGATTGGCCAGAAGACATTATCAAAGATATTCTATTGGGAAGACGATCACCACGTGACAAAAGTTTTCAAAACCGTTTCTAGTCTTCGGTATTTCCAGACAAGTGGCTACTGAAATCAATCTTACTAACTGCTGTCTGTGTGATTTACTCCGCGCGAGTTGGCGGACTTTATTTTGCTTACTTTAACATCATTTTTCATGGTGGGGCTAAGCCATTTCTTGGTATGGGTGTAGCCTACCCAAGCCATACCCTGGCGCTGCCACTGGTGGGATGTGTGGGGCGGGCCATTCTGCGCATGCGTTAAATGCGTTAAATATTTTAACGCAATTAATTCAAAAAATTTATTACCACGGTTAAAGCGATAATTTTGACAGCATTACAAAATATTGTTTTGATAATGGAGTCTGCTGCTTTCAAGCAATTAGAAAAAAAGCTATTGCTAATCTACGTCTAATCTG